CATGCCCTTCATTGCACAGATAGGGAAACTGAGGCTCAGAAAGGAGACAGACTGAACCAAGATCACACAGAAAAGATACACTCAGTCTGGCTCTTTCCTACACCCTGTTAGTTCTCAAACTTTTCATTATGAAGACCTCCCCTCCTTTTAATTTTCTCCTCCATACTTTAAAAGCTTTGGTCTCTCAAATAAGCTGCATTTAAGGTATTGCTAACTTATAAAATTATTATTAATCAGATACACTCAGCAGTTGAGCAGTGCTTTTGATCAGCATGAGGTAACCAGTGTTTCTAAATGGAGTTGATGTAATCTAGTCAACAGCAAAGATTCATGATGTTTCATTGGCGACCTCACCCTCTTCTGTTAAGCTTTGTGAAAGATTGAGCACTCTTCATAGGACACCCACTGCCACCTTTTCGTGCCCTGATAGGGCATCAATAGCCTGCACCATGTCTCCCTGCCTATCCCCATGCATGGGAGCAAGAAGGCAACAAGAAATAATGTGAGGAAACATAGAATGCCATAAATAGAAGGAAGTAAAAAAACAAAAAACAAAAAACAAACTCCAGTAACCCCCATGCCCAGTTCTCTCAAGAACTGGAAACTTGGTATTTTTTGAACAGAATGTCAGAGAAAGAAACGTGGCAGTCAACCCCACTAGAAGGCCATGGAGACCCATCTGGACTTTTCTGTGGTTGTACAGTGTTACTGGGGAGCAGCCAGTTCCCTGGGGGTAACTTGTGGGCAGGAGGAAAGAGCATCCTCCTCTCTCTTTGAGGTCTAGATGAAAAATACCAGAGCGTCAGGACTGAAGCAGAGAAAATTGATTTTGGAGGGAGAAAAACAAAAAATGTTTCTCCCTGTTCTTTTGCTCCAACTACTAGTTTTAGCTCTATCCTTAGAGGAATCCTTTAAGAAATAGAACATTCTGTATGAAGAGAGAAAGTCTGAAAAACTCTGTGTGCCGGTCCTCACATGTAGGAAATGTTTCCAGACAGAGACAAATGGATCTTTAAGCACCTTCCTGGGATCCCTGATCTCCCGCCCAGCACCTCACCCTACATATTGCAGCCAAGACCTGAGTCCCACCTCCCCCACCACCACCCCCAGCCCTGGGGGCTTTCCCCCAGCCACCTTGAGAAGGTCAGAAAAATTGGAGTTGCCCTCTGGAGCTAGGGACGTGAGACTTAGAACTTAGACGGATCTCTTTTCATTAAGCAGTGCCCTGGCTTAACAAGCAGTTTTATAAATCTGAGGCTGTCTCCGGGTGTCGCAGGATTTATAGATGGGGGTTTCTGCCATAAAGTGGTTTATGATGGCTGCCTTCTGTGTTATTAGTAGCTGTCTCTTCCTTCAACCATTGCTGTTTGATAATAGCCTTAAAACACCCAGAATTACTTACCTGCAAGCCCCATTCCCGATGCCCCTGTTGACAGTCTGAATAAGTTTAGTGCCCTTTTGTTGTACTTTACCTTCAAAACAAACTGATTGAACCATCAATAGCTCGTGGAAGCTGACAGAGGGATGTCATCTGGACTAGCCCTTGTGATTGCAGGTTATCTGGGGGAGTTAACCTTCCTGCATTGTTAACTGAAATGTTTTATGTACTATGCAACTTTAGGATACGGCTGTGATAACCCCAGTAACTAAGTAATACATCACGGTAAAGAGATTTTGGTGCAACAAATAACCCTGGATTAAATTTACAAGGGTTGAATTGATATTGTAAAAGCCTTCATTCTGTGGCTTCGGGAATCCTCTCTTGTATTTTTATGGCAAACTTGTATTATACTCAGGATTGAAGCTGCGGCTTTTGATACTCTGACATGACCTAGAACAAAGAGAAATAGATCTCCCAAGACCACAGTGGGACAGGCAGGCAGGAAGCCCACTGACTTATCACTTGGCAATAATGTTTGGAGCCAGTTCCAAGCCACCAAGGGGCAGGAAGATCTGGTAGATGTGGCCACTGTCTGGGGTCTGTGTACCACAGGCATTGGGCCAGGGCACACCATTAGCAGAACTGGGAAGGAGACTCATCACTGCCTTGCCACCCTCATAATTCCAAAGTTATTACTCCTCATGGTGTTATTTTCACTAGGACATTGGTTCTCAGCAAGGCCAGCAGCATCAGTATCATCTGGGAACATATTAGAAAATGCACATTTTAGGCCCCACTCCAGAGCTACTGAATCAGAAACTCTGGGGATAGGGCCCAGCCATCTGTATTTTAACAAGCCTCCAGGGATACAGATGCCTGCCGCTCTGCTAGACAGAATATAAGCTCTTTGAGAGCACAAGCCTTCCATTCTGTTCACCACCTTACCTCAGCTCCCAGCACAGTTCCTGACAGGCAGTGGCTGTTTCATAATTACCTGTTGAATGAGTGAATATATGAGTAAGTACATGAAAGAAGACATCTCTATGGGAGATGCTTTGGACCCTGAGTTGAGTCTCAGGTGGAACTATTTGGGGCAAGTCTTCCTAGTGTCCCCTCAAACCTTTCTAGCAGCAACTCCACCTGGAAACAGGCTGGCCCTCAGGATGGATGTCAAGTCATCCCTGGTTTCATGGATGACTGGCAGCCTGTGTCATGGGCTGTCTCTTAAATTGTAGAAGAAGAGTGATCTGAAAACAGCAGCTCTTTGTCATCTAAAATTCTTAACTAGCTTAAAAGCCAGCACCTCTCTCTCTTTCTCCTTTGATTTCAGGGCTGTGATCCAAAATGCGGCAAAATGACAATGTGCGGTCTGTTGTCATCGTGGTTCCTGCCAGCCCCGTGAAGGCATCTTTCACTCCATCGTTAAACATTGGCTGATTTTCTAATACTGCTGTTTTCTTCACCTGAATATTCATCTTTTCCCACCCTACACTTAGTGGGTGTCTTTACTCCCTTGCGCGTCACTCCTGACATATTGTTTCTGTCTGTACATGTCTTTATTTGAAAGAGTCTGTTGTCATCAAGGCTTTTCCTGCTACAAGCAGAAGATGGAAGTTTTCTCTGACATTGACTGAGGCCGGTGGGAGTTCTACTGGAAGATAGAAAAGACATTTGGGCCCTTTGTGGAACTTTTTTGATTTGGGATAAAATTAGGGGGCATTTGTGGGGGAAAGGGAGGAACTCGGGGTCAGAAAGAGGGAATAGATTGAGGCCAGGGAGGAAGGAGGAGGTAGTTAGAAAGTCAAATTTTCAGGACCTCAGGAATTGAGGTAGACATTTCTGAAGAAAGAAAGTCTACCTCAAAAGAAGAATGTTGGAGTATTTTGACTTTAACAGTAAATTACATGAAGATTATTCCTGGAGGTCTCTAAACTATTATCTCTGGTTTTTTAGTGATCAGCCAAGTATTTTACCCAGAGAAGCATATGAAGGCCACTTGGTGATATGAGACTACCTCATGAATGTGGGAGGTGGCCTTGGGAGCCCAAGGCTCTGGTGAAAGGAAGGCACACTGTATACTCCAAGTAACATCTGCACTGAGAAAGACTTCAAGGTGCTTTAGAGTTTGGTTCCTTGATGGCCCCTCAAGTTTTCTTTCATTCTGTGAGGAATTTTGGCCCTCTTCTCTGTGCTCTCATCACTACCTTATGCATAACTTCACTCTTGGCACTTAGATATGCTGATTTCTGATTCCTCTGAGTGTATATTTTCCATTGCATTGAGAACCTCTTTAAGATTAAGAACCATATAGTCACTTCTGTATCTCTAGGGCCTGGCATTTAGTAGCTAGTCAAGAAATATCTGTGCAACTGAAATGAACTGGTATGTTATTGACTTCATTCAAATGCCAGTTTCTAAGGTGTGATAAAAATGAGCAAATAAGTTTGCCCTGGTCTTCAAGAAGCTTATAGTTTAGGTGAGGATGTCTATTGAACACCAAGAAAATAATAAGAGAAGAACAAAATTTTAGACTTTCTGGTACTGGCAGTGTTTTCTAGGAGTGCTGAGAAGAGGAAAAACAATGTGGGCTAGAAGTGTGGAAAAAACCTCATGGGGTTGGAGCTTAAGAGATAAGTGTATACTGAGGAAGGTGGGTGTATTACACTTGACACTGACTACTCACATCTTCTTCCTTGGCAGGATAGGGTCTAATCAAGTGATTGATGGAGTTTGATGGAAAGCATCTGGGTTGGTGACTGTCACTGAAGAGAGAGAAGCTTAGACACATGTCTATGCCTTTTATATATTATTATGTATTTACATAACTCTACCCTGGCCAAATGGATATTCTTGTCAACTCCAAATACATTTGAGTATAGTTCATTACATGGCTTGTCTTTGGAGTCCATATTGGTTGCCAAAGAGTCTTTCTGGGGGAAAAGAGAGCACAAAGCATTTATTGGGCTATTACTATTCCCCAGAAGTCAACTCCTTCTGTTTCTCCTTGATAAGGATAATCTTCATAGTGCTAGTGTGGAAATAATCCAGTGATGGTGAGACAAAGTTCTCAAGACCCCTGCTTGATCTTCAAGGAAGCATTTCTCAGCTTTGCATGTTCCTTATTTCTATTCCAAAGTCATCCAGGAAACTCCAGTCTAGTTTTATTGTCCTGAATGGCAAGTCAAGACCTGTTTCATCTTCAAATTGAAGATCTGTTGTTATCTCAGAGATGAGAAGAATACAGATGACCTATAGGAATGACAGTGGCATAAAGGGTACAATCAAGTCATAGGTTAGTTTTACTCAGAACTTCTGGGTAGCACTGAAAGGGTCCTACTGGATTATTCAGGTATGTGTGTGTGTGTCTGCCTTTCAACCAAGTGCAGCCATTAGTGTGTGTTTCTAAAGTTTAGTTTTGCATCTTTTTGAAATATAATCATTCTGACTTTCCCAGAGAATGATTGTTCATTCTTTGTGAAAGAAGAGAGGAGAAGCAGCAGCCAAAATTTAAACTCCTGAAGACCTAGCGGTTTGGATTCTTGAGACTCAGACAAATTCTCTGGATTTTTGAGGCTGTTACCTCAACCCTCCTGAGTTGTCTCTGACTCTTCTCTTCTAGATGTTTTGTTCTGCATAAGCTTCCCAACCTGAAGTTTCTGGATGCCCAGAAAGTCACCAGACGAGAACGAGAGGAGGCGTTAGTCAGAGGAGCCTTTATGAAGGTGGTGAAGCCCAAGGTGAGCGGCCTACTTGCTGGACTTCACAAGGGATTTACATCACATGGCACTGGTTATGCTCCAGGGCATGGAAGATGCCTTACTGTTTGTTTAAAATGCAGGTGGGATCTCACACCAGGCATATACCCTGGATACGCTGTTGATCAAACATGAACTAGGATTGGGTATACATTGTTTTCCTGTAACCCATGCTAAGGTAAGGGGACCTTATTTGTAAGTTAGTCTCACCCAGGTGACTGTTTTACCAATAGAGCAGCACTGTGCATGGCCCAGTGGTGAAATTCTTCAAGGGATTTCAGGCCTCCTTCTTGAAGATGTTCTCAAAGTGGGACCTCTGCAGGTTTGGAACTGAGAAAGAAGAAAGCATTGGGAATGGTTAGGATTCTGGGGTGGGTGGGATTCTTCTAGTGCTTCAGAGGGGGCTCTTCCTTCTTGCTATCAAAGGGGAGCTAGGGGAAAGTGATTTTCTTCCATTCCAAGGACTCAGCAACTCTCTGAGATATAGTTAGTATGGAAGGCTGACAATATGTCCCCAGGCTGGCATGTGCTCCCCACATGTATCTCTCCAGAGCTTGTCAGAATGGTGTTTACTGACCTTTCCTTAACCAGCTGAGTCTGCAAGGAGGTTGTGTAAGTGAATTTGGTGTCATCCTAATGGCAGCTTTGATGACACAGGGGAGATTTGGTTTGGGGTCTTGGATTCAGAAAAAAAGGAGTTTTTTTTTTTTTAAAGGACATTGATGACTCCTTTTGGGAGGAGTTGGGGTCCTTCAGTGAAGCCAGATGCTGGGGAATGGACCCAATGACCCCCAGTAACCCCTTTGGAGTACCATCACTGCCTTGGGGCTCTGTGGAACTATGAAGTCACCTCCCATGAGATTGCAGTTTGTATGTTGAAAATGCTGGCACAGAAACCCTAGAGGTCTAGTTTATTCTCAACTATTGACTAATAGTACTCTGTATTTGCATTGGAAGTGATTAAGGGGGGGAGGGAAGAAAAAACAAACAAAAAACAAAACAGAACAATGAAATCTCTTCCATTAAGCTGCTCAGCTGGCAGCAGACCTCAGGCCACTCACTTTGTTTCCCTGAATCCACGAGGTGCAACTTATTTCCCGTTATGCTGAATAAAATTGCTAGCGGTTGTGAAAATATACGATACAGGTGGTATAATACTGGCAGATAAATGGATTGTTACCTGTTTCAGCATGTGGGAAGTGAATTGAGTGATTCATTTCATAACGCTTAAAGTGTTAACCGTTCTCCTTATCAAGGCATGAGTTTGACGTATTACACGACTACCTTTAGTTATTCCAGCTTTTGTAATTTTTTCCAAATGAAATCATTTATTTTTTGGCCTCCCCTCTCCTTTTTTGATGAAAAATTCCAAAGTCAATATCATGAAACCCAACAAAAGTACACGTGAAGTCTTTATAATATCTTAGGTTATGATAAATACCTGCCCATCCTACGTTTATGTGTGTGTGTGTGTGTGTGTGTGTGTGTGTGTGTGTATGTGTGTGTGTGTGTGTTTATAGAGTAGATCGGTACTTAGTCTGCTCTCATTGTTTTTGACATGGGAAGATCTACATTGTCATTGACCATCCAAAGGTATAATAAATGTAATGTCTACCATATTTGGATGGAACATTCAGTACGTGCCTACCATTCTTCTAAGGTTCTTTGTATATAGAGCTTTGAATCCTCATATAACCCTATAAGTTAGAAGGAAGAAGTCATTGGCTAACTTTACAGATGAGGTAACTCAGTTCCAGAAAAGTTAATTGGGCTGCCCAGGGTCACCTGGCTAGTAACGGAGCTGGAGGTTTTTTTTGTTTTTATTTTTATTTTAGACAGGGTCTCACACTGTCTCTTAGGCTAGAGTACCATGGTAAGATCATAACTCACTGCAGCCCCAAACTCTTTGGCTCAAGTGATCCTCCCACCTCAGCCTCCCCGGTAGCAAGGACTATCGGCACATGCCACCATGCAAGCTAATTTGTTTTTTTAGAGACAGGGTCTCACTATATTACCCAGGCAGGTGTTGAACTTCAGGGCTCAAGCAGTCCTCCCATCTTTGCCTTCCAAAGTGCTGGAATTACTGGCATGAGCTACTGTGCCTGACCAGAGCTGGAGTTTTACCTGCATGTCTGACCACCTCGCCCATGTTCTTCTCATTCTGCTTTCTTACCCCTGGAGCAGTGAGCTAAACATTTATCCTGTGAATCTCCTTGTTCAAACAAAACTTCACAGGAAGATCTAAATGAAGAAAATAGGTAAAAGCAGGGCTGTTCTGTCAAACAGAGGTGGAGGGTATTGAAATCCTCCCTTGCCTCTGAAAATGTCTGGGAGTGGCTTATTAAAATCCAGTATAAGCTGTTTGTCTGAGTCATTAGCAACAGAAGCAAAAGTGCTCGTCAGAGTTCAAAATTAGTTTCTAATCAATTATAGAATTAGCTTATGTTTGTGTGATTGACTCTGACATCCTTACTAACTATATTAAGCTTAGAAATGCCTGTTAATTATTTGAGGAGAGAGAGAAACTGACAAAGTACGAGAACCTTGGTTGTCTTTTTATAGTCACATAACTTCCAAACCCTAGGTGATTCAGGAATCACCTAGGCTGTACTCTCATTTTAGGGGTTAGGGAATGGGAAGAGGGTGCAGTTTCCTGAGTCCCCACAGAATTGGGGCTAGAACCCCTAGGCATCTGCACTTCCAGTTAAGTGTTCTATTTGTGCCATGATCCTTCAAGTGCTTGGGAAGTTTTCTTAGTGTTCTTGGTTGCCTTGTAAGCTGTATGCCTCTCTTGAATGGCAGGCAGTTCCCTTTTGTCTATTGTTTTCTGAGATGTGCACTGGTACTTTTCTTGCAGATAGAGAGAAGCCAAATGAGCTCCTTGCTGAATTAATAAACTGGCATTGAAAAGGCTGGTTCTCACCTGTTCACAGTGTGTACAGAAATATGTTTGTTCCCATGCAGGTGTGTATATACACTTTCCAACTCTGTGTATATATATATATATGTATGTTCTGGGAGGTATGTGACTTAGAAGCCAGAGTCGGCTTCTAAGTGGAGAGCAATTTCCTTCCCGTGTATTGCCAACACTGTGCTGAGCACACTCAGTGAAGAACTATTTTTCATGATGGAATCAGAATCTCAAGTTGGCTTCTGTCCTTTTTGAGGCAGTGGTGGCCTGTTGTGCTTATTCAGCAGAACACTCTGATGGATGATCAAGGGGGCTATGATTTGGGGAGCTGTTTTCATTTTATTCCTGACATAAAGTATTTGGGAGAATGGAAAATGCTTCTCCAATCACAGCCCTTGCCTTGGAGGTAAGGAACGGGCAGTCTGGGTGTTCTCAGCTAACGCAAATGCAGAACCATCCAGGAGTTAATAAACGCACTATGTCACAGAGGTCTGATTTGGTACCTGGCAGGGGCCAGTGCTGGAGTGCGAGTTCTCTCCTGCTTTCTACCATGATGACACATTTCTCCTTCATTGCTGCCTTTTGGCTTTTGTTGTTTCAAAGCTGCCTTCTGTCTGAGCTCTGATTGTTTTACAGAAAGATGTCACTTATTAGGAAGTGATAGCTAATGTCACAATAGACTCTTCCAGACTGGTGTGTGTGTGTGTGTGTGTGTGTGTGTGTGTGTGTGTGTGTGTTATTAGTTAATGGGCCTGCCACAGCTAGGCTTTGCTCATTTCCCAGAATCTTAAAGAAAATATATATCTTTGTCAAATATTGGCCGTTTAATCATGCCATTGTCGATATAGCCCCAAGCTGGATATAGAGAAGGTTCAGGCCCCCAAAGAAAGGGTTCTATAGTGACCAGACTGAGCCCCCCTCACCACACTGGGAAACAAAGATTAAAGGGTACATGCACAAAGCCTGTCCAGGAGGAGGTGTGGAGGGGGCATACCAGCCCCTACACATCAGAGAGACAGCTCAAAAAAATCCAACAGTCAGAATTGCTTAATTATGTCCTGGCTTTGTAATTATTCATCCCTGTTCTGGCAAAGAGCATGGTTGTCATTTCTTTGACATAATTATTTAAAGCTGAGCCCTCTTGTTTACAGGCATGTGTACAAAATTGGGGCTACTGTTTAATCTTCAGAACCTTATAGAAGCCATGGGGAGGGCAGCTATATGGGTAGCTGGACTGAGAACTGCAGCTAACATTAGAAAATATTTGAAAAAGTGTGGCTTTGCTTATATTTGTGCCCATTCTCCTATAGGTAAGATACAGTAATAGATGTGTCCACAAGTGTTGATGTCCATGTCCCTGAAGACATGTCATTCATTTCTTTATGTGAACTTGCCCGATTTTTCTGTCAGGTATGGTTTGTGTATTTGTGTAGTTTGGCACGGCCTGTACATTTGTGTGTGTGTGTGTGTGTGTGTGTGTGTGTGTGTGTGTATCTTTGGGTATTTTGGAGGCAGGGGGCTATTATGAGAGGAGGGGGAGAATGGGAGGGAGGCAGATATAACATGTTAAAGAAATAAACTTTGGAGAACATGCACACTTCTGGAAATATCTCTTATTCTCTTCCTTAAACTGAAAGTTGGAACTTATTTGGGTCTGAGAATCATCTGCTCCTATGAGTACACTACACCGTCCTGCTCTTGATACTTGGAGTTAGGTCCTCACTCCCATGAGTCCCTTTAGTTTTTCCATCTGTGTCTACGTTTTCGGGTTTCCAGGAGAAAGGCAGCCCAGAATAAAGATGGGGAATGGAGTCACTGGGAAGCCAGCTCTTCATTGGGGATGAGGAAGCTGCTCATTCCCTGGGGTGCCAGCTCCCTGAGGGCAGGGACTTTGCCTGTTTTGTTCACTTTCGGATCTCCAGTGCCTGGTCCATAGCAGAAGCTCAATCAATACACCCCAAAGGGATATCCATGAACAGTAGAGCATATGGGGAGCTCCATCCTGAAAGGTTGCAGATTTTCTAATTACCTCAACAAGCTCATCTGGAAAAGCAGGTAAGAAACCACTGTC